TTTTTTTCTTTTTTTTTTCTCACTCTTTTCATCTTTGGTACTGTTAGGATCCTAGGATCGCAGTTATTGCATAATAAAAAAAAAAAAAAAAATTATTACAGTAAAATTTTCCAATAGAATCTTTAATTAAATTTTATCGATAGATTCTGCGCTGTTGATTTTAGCTTTCCGTAAAGTTGATGAAGGTTGCTCAAAAATGCTTTAGAGAACTGGAAAACGATTCATTTTGTAGAGTGATTCAACACAGAATTCTAGGAACTAAAAATCTAAGGTTTTATTTTTTTAGAGACTGTCATGAAAAAACTATTTTGATCTTGAAAATAAAATTCTCAACACAAATCATTCTTTAGATTCTTCTTAGTAATTACAGCAGTGAAAAAATTTAATAATACAACTAGTAGAATAATTTCGAGAGTTTCTCTCATTTATGATAATTTACCATGATTGGTAACCGCTTGGTTTTCTTCCTCGCAATTTATTACCGATTCGATTTTCGAATTAATATCACCTAACAAAAGTTATTCTTTTTCTTTTGTTTTTTTGTTTTTGAATAAAATAACTTACAACTAAATGATTTCGATTGATTTTCTTGTTCAATAGCTTTCGTTACTGTTTCAATAGCTATCTTAAGTTCTTGATTATTTTCCATTGAACTAGAAGAACTATGAATTGATAATAAATTCTTAGTATATTCATTTAATTGCTGATAATTTTCAAGTTTTCTTTGTAAATGTTGAATTTGTTTTTGAAGTTCATCTTCATCAAATATTACAGAATAATTATTGAACAATTCTTCTAATTGATTTCGATAGCGAATATGTTCTTCAATATATTGATCATGTTCACATAAATGTTTAATACAAAACATTTTTTGACAATGAGATGAACATTGATATACACGTATTGGTTTAGAATGAAATTGTTTTAAACATAATTCATGTTTACATTGACCAGATAATTTAGACATTTTTGTGTTTTATCTGGAAAGAAAAAAATATATATAGACTAAAACAATTTTATTTGTTAAAAATACGACAGGAAAAAAACAAGGTTAATTATCCTCTTTTTGGTTTTTCTTTTGGAGGTTCAAAGTTTTTGAATTAATTTCCCATTTATATAAAATTTTCTTTTGCTCTTAATATTCTCATTTGATGAAGAAAAATAAAATGATCACATCATGCATGTATAGTTATTTATTCTTTTTTGAGATGATTCATTATAATGTTAAATCTATATATTTGCTCCAGTAATCATCAAAAATCTTCTATACATATGATATTTTATTCCCAGGTCAAGACAAACGGTTAAAGAACGCGTTCCAAACATGGCTTGAGAACGCGTTCGGAACTAGTAGCTCGGAACGCGTTTGTAGTATCGTTCGGAACGCGTTCATGTGTTCCAAACGCATTTTTTTTATTCCGTTCCATTTAGGTTCTTCTTGACGTGCGATGTAATTGCAAACGCTGAATTTGATGGTCTATATATACTGGCACTTCAGCTGATCTCGCAAAGAGCACGTTTACTTTCGTATATAAAGATTTTTTTACAGCTTCTAAAGTACACATTCACGCGAAAAATAAGAAGATAGTTAAAGTGATCTTCTTTATTTAATTACCTTCTTATTTTTCGCGTGGATGCATAGGCGGCGGAGCAAAGTAAATTTAGGGGAGGCTCAAAAAATAAATAAAAAATTGGAATACGAGCGTTGAAAGGTACTAAGTAATTTATGGAAGTCTTTACATTTTCCTCGAGAATCC